ATGCTCTGCTGTTTTCAAAGGCAAATCTTACACATGTCATGACTGGAACACTTCAGAAGCTCTAGCAAGAGCTGGCTTGTCCTGAAAGATGGATGCAGGATGATCCCAACTCCATCGAAAGCTGGTTTGGGTATGACCACGGTACTCATTGATGTCGATGATTGCACAACGTAGGGTTGACTGAAATACGATGGCAGGGTCGAGAAAATATCACGATCACGCTTGTGGAAAGGTGAATCCAATATGATCAAGGTTCATGATCTGGCCAGCGGCATATTTCCTATATCCAAAGGGCCACCTTTCGCTACTTTCTCGGTTTGAATCCGCGAGGCCCAGTTCGCCCATAGTAGCATCAGGAGTTGGTGCGATCTGCTTATATGCCTTTCATAATGCTTTGCAGTATAATCTACTAATCTATGTCATCTACGGAAGTGTTGTAGCGTGCCCGTCTGGGTCGATGAAATTGACAGCTCTACCGAGCCTAGGCCGAAGAAGAGAGGGCTTCTGAGTACGCCCATAGTACATTGAAGTATTCCACCCTCGATTTCCATTCGTAGTTGACAAGATGCACTTTTCTATTGAGTACTGGAGCGAAGAGTGCCCACATCACTCGACGAAAGTATCGAATTGAGTGAAAAGGGACGATTTGCTTTCATGCCATAGATGATAAGCTGGAAAATTGTCTGCTAGCGGAACGCAGAGAGAAAAAGAATATATAAGCGAAGGAGGTATAGATATACTTCCATGTAACCATGATAAGAACCTAGACCAACCCCGGCTAGATTCTAACTATAGTCCAGGTCGGTTAGCAGGCGTAGTGTAGTGGCAGCTCTAGTACGAGAATAAAAGAAATTCTTAATGACAGGATAGGATGCTCGGTCTTCATACTCAAGGACACCGAGCCATGATTCTGGTTGTTGCTCTCGTGGTACAGTAAGGTACAGTACAGTAGGAGGGGGGTCGTCGGGATAACCATCTACAGTCTGTGCTTGAATCTACACAAGCTCACTTGCTTGATTCTGCCCCACTCACTCCCTTGCCTCTGCCGTCTTTCTACTCAGTGCGAGCTCGAGGTCTCACGCAATGTGAGCTACGTATCCAGCCCAGTATTTGGCGAATCTGCCCTCAAGGTCGGGAGAATGATAATTATCTTCAGCTCGTGCGAGCTACGAATCCACGAAAAGGAATGGGGAGCGGGAGAGTGCGAGCGAGGTCACTGTGCGGGTCTAGGGAGGAACGCACAGAAAGAGGGCGAGGTAGAGAAAAACATGGAGAGGGAGAAACTCCGCCAATCGAAGCCCGCGTTGTCCATGTCAACCGTCTTGACCAAATTCTTCCGGACTGGGAAAACTTTCCACTCGGTTTCCATTAAAAGACAACTCGAGCAGCCGGGACTTGGACCAGGACGTATATTTTCTGGGCGAGAGGAGTCTTTGCGGGGCAGTCCGCAGCAGTTGGTCGGGGCAAAAAATGCTGAGGTCGACACGGAGGGTGGCGGTAATTTTAGAGAAAAGCCGCACTCGGGGGTTGGGAGGTTCAAGCGACCACGGTAGGCATCATTGATCGCAGATATTAGTATACAAGTTGATAGATTTTGTATGCGCCGAATCTACGAAGGTTCGATTTTGATCATGGGTTCACTCAAAGTTATGATGCGCAGCGACACTACAGTAGATAATATCCAAGCGGTTATGGTTGGGTCTAGATCGGGATCCCTACGTGGGAATGCGAGACGAAATCCCAGCACTTGAAATCAAACCCGCTTGCGCCTGAAAGCATGCACCAAATAGAGCCGTATAAAAGCGAAAACTGTCTCCAATGGACCCACTTGGTGTGGTTACATAGCCCGACCCCTGTGGGAAGCGGTTAGCCCCCGCTGGGGAAAACCGCTGGTCACAGGGCAGCGGGCGTCGAGTCGCACGGTGTCCCGCATAACATTCCCCAGACGTGGGAATCCAGTCTGGTTGACCACTTTTCCCCGAACCGGCCCGCGCGCCCAGGCTCGGGGCCGCGGGCTGGCCCGGGCGTTGACGAAGTTCATGGAGACTTTGGCAGGATCTCCGAACCTTCTGAGGCCTGGCGCGGCAGAGATCGGCGCTCAGCGACGCTGCGAGGCGAGGCGACTCGCGGGCGCGGTGAGTTCAGCCGAAACTGCTCCGCCCCAGGCGGTCAAATCTACGGCGGTAACTCGCCTCGCGCTGCCCCCGCATTTACCCCGCTCACACGCTCGGGCCTAGCTCCTTAACCCCGGTTGCTTATGGTGCGCACCCGAGCCCCCCGCATCGCAGCAGCACGTGCGTACCCGCGGGATCGTTCCCGGATCCGATCGTCGTCTTTCTCACAAGAACCTTACGGCAGTGGCCATGGCCGCCTCGTCCCCTTTTCTCTTTCCGCCTTCCTAATTTGGAGGACCTCGCCAGGATCTTCGGCAGCTTTAGAGCTCGCCTTCGACTGCGGGCGAATCTGATGGCTCGCGAGATTCCGATGATTTATCCAGCGAGTGATTTATTATTATTGATCTGATGAGTGAGCGACTGATTGAATTCCTCTCGATCACTTGCTTCCTCTTCCTCCTCCTCCTTCTTTTCCTCGTCTCCGACGGAGGGGAGGGTGTCGGTCGATTGCAGCTGCCGTTTACAGGCGCTACATTTCTCCATCTCCTCGTGTTGCCAACTCGCCATGCGTCGGCCGGTCTGGTGAGCTGCGGTGCGCACTCAGGGGGTGTAAAATATTCAGCCGGCAGGGCTCGTGCTGCCATTGTCACTGCCCGTCTCATGTCATGAAGGCAGTGCAAAATCTCAAGCCCCCTCCCCTCCCCCCAGAGCCCTCTCCCTCAAGCCCGACACGACAGTCGAGTGTACAGTGGAGCGGAGAGTGTCCGCATCCCAATAGTTGCAGGAAGATCTCGGTGCACAGTCCTTGCGCCCCTTCCCATGCTGCCATGCAGATTTGTCTCTTGACAAAAATGTCCGAGTTTAGGCCGTAACTCTCAGCAGCAGCAGCTGCAATGCAAGCGCGAGGAAAACTCGAGCCGCGTTTTGTCACAGCGTTTTGTGCCGTCCGGACACAGAAACATGCGCACACAGCTCCGATGCACGCACAATGAAGCTCCACCTCCTTCTTCTATACATGAAACGCAGCATTTGTCTCTTGCGCATCGTCGTCGCTGCTGCTCCGAAAGAGCCCGAGCGACGCCGTTGCGTGCTGCGTACGGCAGCGTGCACAGAAGCCGCATTAACACGGGCTCACATGAACGAGATCTCGATAGATGCTTAGACAAAATGGAAGGATTCTCTCGCTGCTTGTTGACATTATGGACATGCACCTTGTTGCGATTACCCACACGGACACAGGCCCAAGTTCCCCAACACATGTGATCGAGAGATTTCATTGATCTGGGCCTGGGCCGGGCTGGGTTTAGGCAGCCGACATAACTTGTTCTTGTTCTTATTCTCATGTCACAAGGACAACATAAGTGGCACCGATCCTCAGACACATGCTGCGCGCATATCGCAAGTGCTTCTCATCTCGCCGAGCAAAAGTTGCGCAGTGAGAATCATGTGATCACACGTTGTACACATCTACATATATCTGCATTATCTGATGCGCCCGGGATATATTGAGGGACAAAGAGCCTGCGGATGAGGAGGATTAGGAGGAGTAGTCTGCTTAAGGAAACCTCTGGGTTTGAGGCGTAATGCAAGAGAGTATTATGGCCCCCCCGCCTTAACCAATGGCATCTAACCGAGCCCCATCCACGAGTAAATAAGCCCCTGGTGCTTGCGGGCGTGTTAGCGGCTCGTCGGGCCTACCGCAACTGGGAGGGGGGGCTGGGGCCCCAAGCCCGGCCAGAGGAGAGAAGTACAATGCCAGTACAGCACAGAGGGAGCGGAGCCGGTTCTTGTACGAGGGGGCGTGGCAGGAGGAGGGCCCGAAACCGACAGCGCGGGGGGAGGATATCTTTTGCGCAGAGCGGAGCAGCCGCGTCGGTCATAATACAGCCCCAAAGGTCAAATCTCCTGCCGGTAAACAAAACGGTGAAACCCGGCGACGGGGGTGCGGGTAAAGGTGAAAGAAGAGATTCACGCGGGGGCCGAATGGGGGTAGGACCCGCCCGGGCTTGTGGGAGGGCGTGCTAGCGGCAGCCACCCCCTTACCCCCGTCACACAGTTGGGCTCGACCCGGAATAAGGAGACGACTTCTTCTCCTCCTTACCCCTCCGCTCCCAAGCGCCCAGCTGGCCCGTTCGTTAGCGCAGTGCGAGAGTGAGCCTCTCTCTCTCGAGGACGAGGAGTGAGAGGTAGAGTGAGAAAAGAATCGCCGCAGAAAAGCGCGTCCGCGGGCGCGAGGGACAAAGTCGGGGGAGAATTACGCCATTAGCGAATTGTAGCGGGGCTCGGACCGAACAGATTCCGGACGGGAAAGCAGAGCAGAGCAGACCCGAGCCGTGGCGAGCCGAGCCCATCCGAGCCGAGCCGGGGCGGGGCTAGGGAGCTTTGGCAGGAGTAGTAGCTGGGTGGAGAACGCCCTTGAGGACGGAAAAGTCAGCTGGGGCCCAACAGGGGGAGGCGAGCGAGGGGTAGGGGAAGGACGAATGCGGCTTACTTACCCTTTTCTTTGGTATGGCATTGGGGCATTTCGTCGCGAGCTTGAGTGTTTAGAGAGAAACCGGGCGAGGGTAAGAGAAAGCCAGAGCGACGGCGAGCGCGCAGATCGGTCCTTCGTTCCCTCAATCATCCATGCGCGAGGTAGATGCACAATATGGTGGCGGATTCTGCTCTGTAGCCAGTGTTGACGGTGCTGCTCGTTTGACGAGTCGGAGGAAGGGAGGGAGGGAGAGAGAGAGCTCTGAGAGGTGAGGTGAGGTGAAGTGAAGGCCACTGAAGCCCAGCCAAGGCAGTCGAGATCAGAGGGTCTCAGAGTCGTGGACGTGAGAGAGAGAGAGAGAGAGAGAGAGAGAGAGAGAGTAGTAGCGCTGTGCGAGAGAGAGAGAGAGAGAGAGGAGGAGGTCATCAGAAATCGAGGATTGAGCACGAGCTCAGAAGCGAGAGAGTCCATCGCCTGATTGATTGATTGATTGATTCATGCAGTGATTGATTGATTGGGTCAGTGAGTGAGTGAGCGAGCCCTCTGGCGGTAGCAGTAGAGAGAGAGAGGAGACGGGAAGGGATTTTATTTTTTTCGCTCCTCCCGTGGAAGGATTTTCAGGTGGGTGGGTTGCTGGGGATCGGGCCTATCAGTCAATAAGTCAGCCAGAGTCCAGAGAGGGGTCGATACAGTTGCCCCGACGAGTGCACTCATTGTGGGGTGGAAGCCCGGGGCTTGGGCCTCATTAGACATTCAGCGCTCTGTCATTCACCGCCTACTAGCTCGCCTCGGCCCGCACATGGTCGTCGCAGAAATCAGGTGAAAGTGGTAAGAAGGGAAGGGAGGGCGAGCGAGCGAGCGAGCGAGGCCTTGTGTCTGACTGCCTGCGGGACGCATTCGTTGCAAAGCAGGCTGGCCTGCGGGAGCTCGAGGTGTATGAAGTAGGTGGTAGCTGGGGCTCGAAGAGTCGAGGCGCCAGAATTTCGGGGCGGGGAATGAGCGAAAGCAATTCTCTGCATCGCATCTCACACCCGCTCAGTGCTGCGAGACGGCGAGGCCGCAAGCCCAAAGCCTAAATGATTCCCGACGAGCGCTTGAGCCGATCCAGTTTCGCTGCGAGCTGCACGTCCGCCTGGCCTTCATTCTCCAAGCACGACCAGAGGCCGGTCAAATTGATCGACGATTTCGCCCGAGCAAGGAATTCGTCCGCCGCCGCCGCCGCTGCTGAGCCAATTCCCCGCCCCGGCGCACTGAAGGGAATGCCTGCAAGCCTGTCTCGCCAGATTGCCTCCCCGTTCCACCACCTCCAGGACCACCACCACCACTCCGCAGCCTCGACGACGACCGCATCCTCGTCCTCGTCCTCGTCCTCCCTCGCGCGCAACGTCACCACCAATTTCGTGCCCAAAATTGCCGTCGTCGCCGCTCCTGCTGCTGCTGCCCAATCCCCGTCGCCCCCGACCCACACCCCGGCCTCGTCGCTGCCCTCGTCGCCCTCGCTCTCTCTGCCGCGCACGCCCTCGCAGTCGCCCCTGTCGCCCTCGTCCCTGCACCCGAGCTTCACCACGCAATCGCTGCTCGCCCATTTAGAGTTGGATTTGACGGACGAGCCACATTCTGCGCACAGCTCCTTCTCGGCCGACCGCAGCGCGCAATTTTTCCGCAAGGAGCCTCAGCTCATCGACTTCAGCTCGCAAATTGCGCCCTCGGACGAGTGCGACTTCCATCCGCAGGCCCAGATTGTGCAGCAGCAGCAGCAGCAGCAGCAGGCCGGGGTTTTATCGGACAAAAGCCTGTACCAGGAAATCAGCTTGTTCAAGGACATTCTCGGGACCATCGATTGCGAGCCGGGCTCGCGCGAGGCGGCAGCGGGGAATTGGCTGGGATTGAACACGGCGTCTGAGCGGCAGCAGGGATTGCTCAACACCAAGGCGCGGCTGATCAGACTGCTGCAGCAGAGGAAAGGTGGCCAGGTGCAGGGAGCATTGTGCAAATTGGAGATGGCAGAGCAGCAGCAGCCCGGAGGCGCAGGTGGGACGGCAGGATCGCAGGGCGACACCAGCGCGCACGACGAGATGGAGAAGATTTTGCAGGAATGTCGAGAAGACCAGGAATCGCGCCCGCCATTCTCCGGCAGCCCGTCGCCCTTCAACGATCTGTACAACCTTCAGGACTCGTCCTTGTTTCCATTGTTCACCTCGTCCAGCAGCAGCGCCTCGTCCGCGCAGTACCAGTCGCGCTCGTCCGACGCCCTCTTCTCCGATGCCTTCGGCGGATGGATCGGCGACAGCACGCCCGTGGGCGAGCAGCAGCAGCAGCAGCAGCAGCAGCAAGGCCAGCAGCCTGCGAGCTACGACCCGCAAATGCCCTCGAGCATGAGCTCCAAGGAGCAGCAAATTTATGGCACCTTCGCGTCCAATTCCGCCTCGTTCCAGCAGTTCTCTCGGTACGCCGAATCGGACAAGCTGGCGCAGGTGCAGGAGCTCGAGCAGACGCTCGGATTGTCGCACGACGATCGACCGCCGACGCCTCCCGACGCCTCGACCGCGCGCTTCGCCAGCGCTGCGTCGGCCTCGTCCACGGGCGCAGCCGTGCCCAGATCCTCGAGCGACCTCGCGGCCGCCGGCGCTTCGGGCGCTTCGAGCATGGTGGCCAGCACCCCGAATTCCTCCATGTCCTCGTCGTCCAGCGACGGCGCCGAGGATGACACCACCACCCAGCCGACGGGGCCCGGCGCCACCACCGTCAGCAGCAAGCGCAAGACTCCCGAGCGCGACGAGAGCGAGGAAAAATCCCCCGCCCATGCCACTGGCGCCACCACCAGCAGTGGCGGCGACAGCCGCAAAGCGCAGCAGCCGTAAGCCCTCTCCCTCTTCCTCTCGTTCAATTTCTTCGACATTGGTTCATTTTTCTTCTGATCGCTTGACATCGTGAGGCCATGGGGTTTTGGTTTTCGTCGAGGATCGTCGTCTGTTTTGTGCCAATGAGTTCGGATCAGATTCGCATCGAGGGTTTTGATTTCATTTATGTGAGAATTCCTTTGGGTGTGTGTGATTTTGAGTCTGAGTCTGATATCGACGACGTCCTGGATGGGGTTTTAGAGTGAGTTGCAATTCGAAGCCGTGGTGATCAGATTCGAGTGGCATGAGGTGTTCGATTCGATTTTTTCGATGGGGGTCTGATTTCTGATTTCTGATTGTCGTGCGACGTGTTCATGTGCGCGCAGGGCGAAGGTGCCGCGGAAGAAGGGGCCGAAGAGCTCGAGGGTGCGCGAACCGCGCTTCGCCATTCAAACGCGGAGCGATGTAGAAATCATGGACGACAGCTACCGCTGGAGAAAGTACGGCCAGAAGGCTGTCAAGAACAGTCCCTATCCGAGGTTGGTCGTTTCCCCCATGGCCCTCTTGCCCCCCTTGCCCCGCTTGGCCCCCTTGGCCCCCCTTTGCTTTGGCTTTACACCCGTGCCCATCCGAGTCACGGAGTGCGGCTCGTGATTTCATCTTGCACTGCCTGCGCACGTCTCCGATCGCGCGCGATCGACGAGCGTGACTGGGCTTCGAGGATCGACCGAATGTCACTCTCGAGAAAGAAGCTTCATCCATCCGGCTGACTTTGACTTCAAGGGCACCGGTCGGTCGATTCAAATTCTGCGCTGCCCCTCCCCCCCGGCGCACTCCCCTTCCCCCTCCCCCTCCCCCTCGCACCCCCACCCCCACTCGGGCCCGGAAGTCAGCGACTCGCCGAACGTCCACCGGGTGGCGGTGGTTATCCCTCCCTCCCTCGCCTCTGGGGGCTGCTCAGACCAGAGGTGCGTGTAGTTCAGAGTAGCCCCGTAATGGGAAGTTTGTTAGCATCGGCTCCGTCTCTCGGGGAACCTCGTTCTCGATTGGATGGATAGATGGATGAGTCCATGCCACTGGGAGCGAGGGAGGGAGGGAGGTAGAGGGTTGGTTGGGTGGAAGAGGTTGGAAGGAAGGAAGCAAGAGAGGAAGGGACGAAGGGGGGCAAAGGACAGAGGACATCTGGGCGTTGACTTTGATCCACTCAATTAAACCTGCTATGATGATCGTATGAGAGCTCTAGAGCGGCTCATCCTCTGGACCTACACTCGTGTTCGTTATATCGTCTTCCTCCTCGTCCTCCTCCTCGTCCTCTTGCTCCGCCCGCCCTCGCCCGCCCTCCCTCGGCCTCCTCGTCGTCGTCGTCGCTCGGCTTGCTGCACTGCAGGGGCCGGGCCACTGGTTGGTTTGTCGGTTATCTCATCATTCGGGGCTTGATTTCACCGTATGCGCCTACATGCCATTACCGAGTACCGACTCCGCTGACGAGAATAATCACAATAATGCTCAGATCAGGTTGCTTAGAGTTGACTAAACTAAGCCCCCTCATCCGCAGTGATTACCCAGCGCAGATTCCGCACCTCCACCAGCCTGCGCTTGCGTGAGCCGGTTCGTACCACGACTCCCTGTGTCTGACTGACTGGATCAGTCAGTCACTGGCTCTGCCCCTGCCCCTGCCTCTGCCCCTGCCTGTCGACGCTCTACGCACTCTGCCTGCCTCCATGTCCGTCTCTCTGTGCGGGGACTGGTCGAGATGACCTGGACAGCATACGATTCATTCTTCCGCTCGCTCCCAAGTGTATCGGGTACGCTCCTCCTCCCACAGCCCCCCGCAGTATCTTCGCTCGGAAGCCTCTGCTCATTCCTCGCCCCTTACCCTTACCCCTGCCCCTGCCCCCTGCCCCCTCCTCGTCTCCTCTTTGCCCCGCCTGCCACCTTCTGCCCCTCACCCCCTCTCGTCCGGGTATAGCGATGGCAGGCAGTGCATGCCACTTTTCCCCTTTGGCTGTTTGCTTCTTCGTTGCTGTGTTGCTTGGAAGGTCCGGTAGACCAACTATCAGAGTATCCGACTAACCCCGTAGACGAACCGTACCCCCCACTTGGGGCTGGGTCCGTATCAGACGCGTAGTGGTAGAGTATGGATGGGGTACGATCAATTCAATTTTGCTTTCGGATGCGATTGCCGTCTTGTGTCCGTGCAGTGTGAGAGTCGTAGTGGCAGTAGAAGAGAGCGATGGTGGTAGCGAGATCTGATGTGATGTGCGTGGGCTTGTGGATGACAGAAGCTACTATCGGTGCACGAACCTCAAGTGCCCGGTGAGGAAGCGCGTGGAGAGGTCGTCGGAGGATCCGGGGCTAGTGATTACCACGTACGAGGGGACGCACAACCATGTGAGCCCGGCGACGCGGCCGTCGCCCTCAGACGCTTCTTACCACCCGGACCGGGGGGTGCCGGGGGCGCAGTTCCCCGGCTCAGCAGCCCCGTACTCCTTCGGGCAGCACCACCAGCCGCCACCGGTGTACCCGGCTCCGCGGAGCAACTTCGACCTGGCCATGCAAATTCGCGGCGCGGGCGGGGACATGCAGCAGCACAGATTCCCGCAGGCGCGGCAGGCCGGCCCCGATTCGTTGCGAGGCCATGGCAATGCGCTCACTAGTCTGAGTAGATCGAACCAGGTGCCCGAGCTGGGGATGCAAATGGGCGGAGCCGACCTCCTTGCCAGGATACAAAATCAGCAGGCGCAAATGCGCCTTCAGGATCAGGTGAACAGATTGGTCAACGTTTCGGGCCTCGAGTCGCACAATCGTGGCGCGCCCGATCACATTCACACTCTCCAGAATTTGCAGCAGCAGCTCAATCAGCAGCAGCAGCAGCACCTTCAGAGTCAGCAATTTCAGAACCAACTCCAGCAGCAGCAGCAACAGCAGCAACAACAACAGCAGCAGCAACAGCAGCAGAATCCTAGGGGTTCCTCGGATCAAGCCACGGACGAGGGCTTACTCGAGGACATTCTCCGACCCGGAATCATCCGCAAACCGTGATCGCACTCGATCGAGCGACCGAGCATCGATACAGGAACTCGGATTAGGATGGACGGAGATCAAGCTCAAGCACATGCAGCAGAGTCGGAATCAAATTCCGCCGGAGAAATAGAAACCCCCATTCAGCGTAACTTGACCATCATCAGACCAGACCAGACCAGATCAGATCAAATCAGCAGCAGCCGCAGCAACAGCAGCACCCTCACTTGACCATCATCACCACCAGCATCAATCACATCATCATCAGCATACACAGCAGCAGCAACAACAACAGCAGCTTACATCTCCCTTACAAAGGGATCCGAGCGATTACAGCCCCTTGTCCCGGTTGTTTATATTGTAGAGATCATCCTGACCACCATTTGTCAGCAAAATCCTCTCTCAACTCTCACTGCCCCTGGAGAGCACACACAGTCAGTCTCCAGCTATTAAATTTTGCAAATGAGTAATAAGTTAAGTTAGCAATGAACGCACACCGTCGCCGCTCACCCACACCCGGGCCCCGTTTTACCTTACATAGCTATTTATAGCGGCCCTTGGCAAAGCAACCCCCGCCCCCATCCACGCCCACATCCACCCTGTCTATTTATTTTCCGATTCAGTGTGTACCGTCGCCCGCCCGCCCTCAGCACCCTCTGCTAAAGTCTTAGAAGGAAGGAGGAGGAGGAGCAGTGAGATCGAGATGAAGTAGTTGTCCATCCATGAGCAGCAGCAGCAGCAGCAGCGCCATCACCATCCTTTGTACACAATCTTATAAAGTTATCTACATTAGCTAGCTAGCTTCACATCCACAGTGAGGGAGATAAGTAGATTAAGGGAGCAATGACTGCTTCCGTTTCCAATGCTTACGCGACAAGACTAGTGGACTTGTCTGCTGCCCCACTCTCACAAGCAGGGGCGTCCACTTTTAACTTTAAAATCAGTTTCAAATGTCCCACATTCTCTCTCTCTATCCATCTCTCTCTCCCTCGCTCCGATGCTTGCTTGTTGCATGTTGCTGGTTGGCCTACGAATACGGATGATTCGCTCGTCTCGGGGTCGCTGAACGATCGCAGTGACGTGCCTCGAGTCGGAGGTCGGCATTTCGGGCCAGGCCGCGCGGGGCATATATAGGGCCATTCGAGGGCGCTCATCTCGTGATCTGCACCGATCCGGACCTACGGATGAATTGTGCGCACGACGTCCCGAGCTTAGTTAAACTGAAGACGGTGCGCCGATTCGGGGAGCAGTGATTTATGGCTTAGAATATGTGTCTGTCCCCTGATCTTCATCATCGTGCACCAGAAAGCTCGCCCGAGCGAAACTCTCCGGGTCTTTGGTTGAACAGTTGCCATTGGGTCTCGTTCGGTCCAGTCGTTGAAAATACGTGTCGCCGCCGATTATGCCCTGCAACCCCTCCCTAGCCCCTTCCCGAATTCCAGGGTTAGTCTCCGCTCGAGGGAACAAGTCCCAGCCCCAGCCCCAACCCCAGCCCCAAGCGCAAGCTCTCCTGTAGCTGCCAAGCCCCACGCACGACTCTCTTCTACTCCTTCTTCTTCTGCTTTCTGTTCGTTGGAATCTGAAATTATTTTAGCACCAGCGGCGCGAGGCAGATCCAGAGAAAGAGCCAAGTCCGTCAGGGCAGGACGGAGGGGAGGGGAGGGGTCACGGACTCGACCGGGGCAGGGGACTGCATTGCATGATTTATGAATCCAGATCCACCTGTCTTCTGGTCGTGACGCCGGATAACCCACACACAGCCATCAATGGAGGCTTGTGTAGGTAGCACCAGAACCCACAGGTGAACCCCCGGAAGAGGATCAGGGTCTTCACAGTGCATTTGCATGTGCACTGTGAAGGGTTTATGGTGAATTGCCCGTGGTGAGGTGAGGTGTGGTAGGATGTGATCGAATGCTCATTATGGGATTGTAGTTCTCACTATTTCTCACCGCAGCGTCGTGTCTCCTGCTCTCGTCTGGGCAGTATTTATCTGAGAAGTGGAATGCCAGTCAGCATAGCATGGAGAGGAAAGAGTCTCCGTCGCAATTTGGAGATTTCATGTCACCCTCTCCTCGTAGAGAATCCACACACGGCCAGAATCAGTGCATATGGGTTCCTGCAGCTGACGTCGGACGCACCATCGGCGCGCATCAGGCTCGGGTAGCCCCGGATGCCGCCATGTATTGATGGCTAAGGTGTCGACGAGCAAGTTTCACATGAATGTAGCCCCTCTCGTCTGCGCGAGCGTTGTACTACCGCCCGGAAGCCGACCCCACCTCCTGTCATCGGAAGTGACCTTCGACTGAGTTGTACACCACTCCTCATCACTGAGCGTCTCAGAATTTGACCCGGCACGAGCTGATGTCGGCCGAGGTACAACTCTGGAAAGAATTTGGCCGAATGAGCATGCGCAGGCAAATCGACGACATGTTCAGATTGCTTTGACGCGAGGTCTAAGTCGAACGAACCACTGTGATGCGCCCAAGAGCATCTTCCATCTCGATAGCGACATTTTTCGGTGCGGACAAGACGAAGCGAGGCATCGAATACGCCTGTTTGGAAGATGTGGATATCACTCGTGTAGCCGCAGGGTAGAAGACGACGAGGAACAATTTACTGTGGGCAGTCAGATTGCCAAGGACTACAATCTGACATTAAATAAATAAGCCAACATATACAAGCTCAGATAAAGAAGGCGGAGATGCCAGTGGCTGTAATAACTTGCAGTATTCTCTGGAGGGCCAGCAGGTTTAGGAGAGTTGGAGTGGCAGATGCCGACTTCCGTAGGCTGTGGAGATTTTGGAGGCTTTGGAGATTTTTGATAGAATATCCATGCTACAAGAATATTCTGCATGGTGAGGGATACGGTGGGGAGAACCGTATAGCACGATCGTTCCAGTAATCCATGTCCTCGACTGCTACTTCCAGATTTATGGCAACCAGTCCAAGAGGCCTAAAATTAGTTGGCGAAGTGGATGCACCGGTCCTAGCGAGGGAGAGTAATCCATCGCACAAATGATGGTCAGGGTTTTGTCATGGGAAGGAAAGGGAAGGGACATTGATGACACCGAGAGCTCTCTCTGTTTTTGGTTGGTCGAGTAACTCGACTGAATTTCGAGGCCGAGTTCCTGTGCTTAGTTTGTCGCGCCATGCGATCGTCAAATTAGTGACTTCGAGATTCTTGAGTGCACCTGCAGGCAGGTGCACAAGAGTGTTGCATACAAGACATGGTGAGCAACTGGAATTCTGCCGTGAATAGAGGTTTGAGTTTGAACGGTTTGTATTATGGCTGCTGCCCTGACATCTTGCTGAATATGGGATCACAGAAAAACAGATTCTTCCTGAGGATCTGAGGTGCCAGCCGCTTCCATACCATCTCATCCCATCCTGCATTAAGATTCTTTCGTGCCAGCCGCTCGGCAGCCGACTTGGGCCAATCGATTTCCAGGCCGAAAGCTACTACCAACCTGTCGAATCGTACCTTGGTCCGAATCATGCGGTGAACACTTGCTATCAAAAGAAGATTTGCATCCTCCGCGAATAGCCATGAATAGTGATGATTGGTGCGAGGAACAGATTCGTTAAATTCGCCTGCTCTGTGAGCTCGATTGAGGAGAATTCGTGTAGGAGTACGAAGGAGTCCATGAGAACCGAGATATCGGAGATATCGGAGCGCACTTATGGCGGATCGGGTCAGATGAGTTCTCTAGCACCTGTGCAGTGAATGCATGCCACAAGCAGTGAAATGACATCGTCCAAATGTCGACTCGGATGTCGCTCATCGCCATATCCGAATTTCATACCGGCTGCTGATGTAGGAGTTCGACTCTCCCTCCGGTGCAGTAGGAGACGATCTGGATATACATACGAGTGCAGGACCACTTCGAAAAGACAACAGTGATTCACGAGACCAAAAGCGAACAGTGGAAGGCAGAAAAGAGGGCAGACAGCCAGCGAGTGATGGCAGGAGAGAGACGATGTGAGCAGTTGGTGGAAGAGTAGAAGAAAGAAGAGCGGCATCTGTAGCAGGAGAGAGAGAGAGAGAGAGAGAGAGAGAGAGAGAGAGAGAGTGTGTGTGTGTGTGTGTGCTTTTGGAAGATGATGTGGCTATGGCCGGCCATGACTTCACATTGCCGCCAACTTATCCGAGTCTCCCCTCGCCGGCTCAGGCTCCGCCACCTGCCCCCAACTGGGAATCCGAGCCGCTCATTCATCCATCAGGCTAAGGCTCACCAAAATACTCCAGCATCTGGTTCTGGTTCAATTAGAAGCGAGGGGTACGAACCCAAATCCTTCAGTTTACGAGGTTTTCCCGAGTTCACGGAGGCCGAAGCAAGTCCGCTGACAGTGACAGCTGAGATCGACCGGGTGTACCGGTGGATCGGGGGTAGGGAACCGGCAATCGGGCGTCGCCGGGCTTGCACCTCGGCCACCTGAAAAGACAGAGGTCGACATCGGCTGGGGACTGTGCTACGCGCTATGGAGAGGGGTGGGGTTGGGGGTGGAGGGGGGGAGGGCGGAGGGGGGGAGGGGGGAGCACGAATCTTCGACGGACGCGCTTTTCCACCGGGTGGGGAGGGGATACCCGGCTCCATTCCATTCCATTCCATTCCTGCGCATGTGATCGGGGCGGGAAGCTTCGAGGGGGTTGCGGAGGTGAGTGGGGGGCAAAAAGGCGCCCTCTTGCTTTACCCACCCCGGCCTCGAGGGTGCATATAATATTGAGCCGCTGTCGCCCGGATTCGGGCCCATATGTGGACAGTGAGCTCGCGTGGAATTTATACAATCTGACACCCAAATCAATCAATCTTTGTCTGACTCCGTTCCTTTCCATTCCAGGCATCGATGCGCCAGACCTGGAAGGAGCCCCGCCGCCCGCGATGATCGTCGGTTGACTCCACAGTGTCAACTGTAAAACTTGCCCCGCAAGCGTCTCCACCATCGCAGCAGCAGCAGCCGCGCTGCTTCCTCTTTGGCTCGGGCTCGAACTGCTCTCGTGATACGGAACCCGACGTCTGCCCCGCTCCGTCGCTCTGGCGACTGTTGACTTCCGCCTCTCCGACAGTGGCACCAGGGGACTCGTCACGGCCTGACCTCGCAGCCCCCCTACCCCCGCTGGGTCCGTCGTGGCTCTGCCCGTTCACCCGGACGCGGGGCCCGGTTGGGCACCTGCGAATCCGCGCAGCTACCACCGACATTTCTCCACCTTTTTACCGACATCTCTCTCTATCCCAACCCCAACCCCAACCCCATCCGCATCCCATCTCCTCTCGTCTCGTCGCAGCCCCTCAGCGGGCTTGGCGATCTCATCTCATCTTTCCTTTCCATTCCTTTGCTTTACTGCTCTGCTCGGCTCTTGTGGCTCTTCCGCGAGTCCCCGACCCGAAGGGGGCTTGGGCTTGCGCTCGAGGTCCACAATCCAGCTCTGCCCCCGGGCCCGGCAGATGACAGCATCAGGGGCCTTTTACAGAAGGGGTGCCGTTGAAAGGGGTGAGCTGCGGGCCGCCTTCCTTAGCCTCGGCGGTCGGGTCAAAGGTCAACAACGACCGCGGCGAGGAACCCAGTCGCTTAGCACACAGTAACAGAAGGGGTGGGCTTAGATTACAAGCGCATGATTGGATCCATTACCCGATCGGTCGCTTTTCATCAGAACCCGGGCCTGGGGCTCGATTCCTTTCGAAAACTCGGTACGACCGATGATGATGCCACGGGCTCGACCTGGAGCAGCTCCAATTCGGTTCGCTGGGTGTTCCGATCGCGGCCGTGGGACGTGCACATCCACCGGAGCCCGGACGGACCGAGCGCTGGGTTACATGCAACTCGGGTGCTTGGGCTTTCGGGAGCCCCTTGGGGCTGTACATGCACTAGTCCCCCGGACTGGTACAGGCCCATCCGTCCATGCCTATCCACCGCGCGTCCATTTGTCGCCCTCCGGGGATTCCACCTCCTCCTCTCGCGATGGCGACAGGGGCGGAGTAGCACGGCCACGTCACCCTCGCTATCTTTCGCCCGACGCCACCCCGATCCTGACCCCGAGCCTCAACCCCAGCCCCGTTTCGCTTCTGGTCCGCCCGTGTGCACCGTGCTGGCCACCAGAGGCTCCGAGGCCCCCTGCACGGGCAGGCGGGGTTGGGGTTGGGGTTGGGGGTCGGGGTTGGGGTTGGGGGAAAGGCACTAACTGGTGCCAATCTCGATCGTGTGGACGTTCCGCGAGCCCTCGCTTGCCGCTGTCAGGATGCTGTGCCCGGACGAATTGAGGCGACCCGGGGGCGTACTGATTCGTTGAGCAGTCAGTTGAATCGGAGCCCTGATTTGCGAGAGGTTGGCAGGGGCTAAGCTCAGGCCAGGTTCGGATCTTGTTACGCAGGTCGCATCGAGGATTGACTTTTGTGCAGCAGGTAGCCAGCCAGTCACTGCGGTAACACGGCTCCTACGCTGCGGTCAAGCTCGAATGAATACTCGCTCGCCATGTACTGCACGTACGAAGAAGACCAGAGCTCCCATCTGACCTGACCCGCCCTGCAGCAAGGCAGGCAGGCAGGCAGAGATCACGTTGGGCATACATTTCAGGCGATTTTCCAGGTGTTGTGTACCGGCAGGGGGATGCAAAGTGGGAGTGGGAGAGGGGGAGTGGGAGGGACGGGGAGATCCTGTCCTTTTCCTCCTCGTCCTCGTCTCGGAGTGACAGTTTTGGAAGCTTTGCTTTTCGATGAATCCAAAGCGGAAAAGAACGCGTACTTGACAACCCCGGGCTGCGCTTGACGTTATGGCCGAATCTGAGATAAGCCCGTGAGGAAGACAGCTTCCGGGTAATGATTGGCACCTCCGAGTGTCTCCCAAGTTTCCCTCAACATACTCTTTGCCTGCCTGACCCGACACTACTCCTACGGCACTCCCCCCCCCCCTCTTGACTGCCATGCTTCGAAGACTTGGTCGCGCACCTGAACTTCCCTGCTCTTCCCTGAGCTTCCCTACTCTGCTCTGCGCTGCCCTGCACTCACACTCACTCACTCACTCGCTTCATTTCTCCAGATTCCGTGCTCCCCCATCACGTCTTCAATGAAGCTTCCTGCCCCACGACTGCCCGGCCGCTGACTTCAACGCGACGGGGCAGCGGCTTCAATCTTAAGCTTCGCCTCGTTGTAATGTATTCGTACATTACGACATGCCCGCTTGTCACTCCTCCAATGGCTGCTGCGGACGGACCCCTCGCCTCTTGAGTGTGTATGGGCTCCATCACGGCCATCGCTTGCATTACTTTGCAGGCACGATCGAATCTAGAGAACACTGGCGACCTGAAGGCGACCTGTCAACGCGATGGCTTTTTCGAAACCCATAGAATTTGGCATCGGAGCTCGGCCTACGCTGGAGGAAAGAAGGGATGTAGTCCCCGGTCCGATGAAGGTACATCGAGTGCGCTTTGAAGGCTTGTGTGAAAAGCTAGACGCTCTTCGCAGGGCAGTTGGTCAAGCAAAGGACACGGAAGCTTCCTGAAGCATCGGCAAGCCAATACGCACATCATGTTGACCGAACTCCAGAGAGAAGGAAGGAAGAAATCGCGGAAGTGGTCATGTTCGCGAATTATGATCTAGAAGGTGCTGGCCCGTGCCTGCCATCTTCCTCCCCATGTGAGACATCAGCAGCACGGGTCAGAAGATGAAGGACCTGCGGAGACTAGCTCTGACGCAGGCAGGCACACTTGTGTTTTCTGCAGCGCGGTTATTATACATTACATGCTAGTGCTGAACACCCACAGTTTTTACCAGGTCGTGATCTCGATTGACAAACTTCATCTTCAGACCAGACGAGGTGGTAGACGACAGAGACTGGAGTAGTAAACAATGCCGGTCAAAAAAGTATTCGAAGAACCTCGAGAATATTTTGCACAGATTTGACTTGTGAGGCACACGATTCAAGAAACCCTGTAGTCACTCGGACTAACGAGGAATAAATGATGTCAAGAATACAACCTTTCTGTGCTAGACGGCGACTCGGGAAACAACGTCTCTATCTTTCCAACATTTCTGTACTGTCTCATGAGGATCTGTTGGCATAGGACGAAATGAGTCAATTCTATATCAACTGGTTCTGGATGACCAGTAGGGCCCTTGTCTTCGAAAAAAATGCACGACCATACGGGTCTACTCATGGTGTGAACACAACGACCATTGTATCTTGTTGTACAAGCAAGTTGATGTTTTCTTGTCGGTTCTCCGTTCAGATAGGGCTTACGTATCTGGCTAGCCTTCCTGACAGCACAAAAGCAAGCGACAACGAATCAGCGGAGCACATGTAGCACTGTTTTGCCTCTACGACTTCTCTTAAATCATGGGCCTAACTTCGTTTACAAAGACGCAATCCATCGAGCAGCCAACGGAAGCTATATTTGTGGCAGACGTGTAATCTATTCATGTCACAAGTACCAAAAAAACACTTTACAGCAGTGTATCACCCAAGACGAGAAAGTTGTTAAACAACACCGAGGTATCAACGAGGAAGCGATGTAAGGGTTTAGGGTGTAGGGTTTAAGCCCTACACATATCCATCACGAACAATGAACGACAAGCTTCGAATTCAAGTTGCTACATGATCCTTTTCACCCATATGCCCACTCTGTGTTACCACTGCAACATATTTATGAATCTGTAATCCACACAAAAACACATGTTTCGTTCATGTGCCTTCATGTGGATTACAGATTCGAGTAAGGATAAAAATCTTCCAAGACGAGAGAAATTATTCGAAGAAGGTCTAGAACGAGACCAAGACACAGATTCGGAGTCGGGTGGGTGAGACAGGTTTAACGAAGCCGTCTGAAGATGGCGTTGGTCTTCGAAAAAAAATAACCATCGACTTCCCCCGGTAAAGAGAATGGCATTAAAGGAACAAAGCAGGCATGCGCATTGAAATCTCCGGGGCTATCATGGAAAGAGGTGCGGATTGAATATTACAGAAGGATATCTCAGGGTTACTATGAGAGGTTAATACCTTATCTGACCCGTCATGGATGCTAAAACGAGTGAACGGCTGAGATTAGTTAGCTGTGACCAGGTCCTCTTTGTTGAACATAACATTAGCAAAAAAACTGCCGTCCTTGTAGAACAGGGCATATGTATGTTTGGATCTGGATGGCAATGTGTTGATATACGGTCGGTTGAAAAGCCAACGTACTGAACCCACCTTAACCCACCGCCATAGCTCTGTGCTGGCTTACAGATTAAATAAGCACGAATTACTGATAAAATAAATGATTCAGACTTAACGAATACACGTGCTTGAAAGACGCATGAACTTCGGCTTGCAAGTCGTATATAAAGATAGTATTCAGCCCAAACCCTGAAGTCCACAATTCATTTACTTTTCATAGGAAGAAAGTCCTTCAAAGCTACAGCAGAAAAAGGAAAATTAAATTCATTTTATATTCACAGAGAAGACTGAAAACCAGAATGAGAGAGTGAGGAACAAAGAATGTTGGTGAAGACGAAAAGAAGGACGGTTGTGAGTATTAAAAACGAGCACGCAATGACATGAGCACATGGAAAAACATATGGTTTCGACGACTCGATAAACAAATGGACTCGAAGACGACACAGTCAAATGATCGAATCAACTCAAAACGCAAATATTGCAATAAAATGAAAGGTGGAAAGGGAAAAGACGAATATTATACGTCCTATAAAGTCCAAGAAAAGATATGAAGCTCTGGACATCTAAAGCATCAGGGCTTTGAAAATTTGGCATCCTAGCACCAAAGAGAAGAAATTTAAGCTTTGAAAAAGAAAAAGTATACCCAGTCAGCAGAAATCTGACAAACTTGTTACCGAAGAGTCTAGCAACAATTGGTTGAACTTGTCTACCAAAGATTCCCGATAGAACTGTATAGCTTTCTACCAAAGTCACCTCGTATCCTACCTTATGGTAGCTGCGACTTAGACATTCCTCTTACAATCTACACCCAGTGAATAGATAGAAGAAAGAAGTTGTGATTCACAATGTTGTCCTACGTAGCATACTGTAGCACCTCTGAAAACAACATGGACAGCGGAACATGAAGTCACATACCAACAAAAATGCTGACCTGCGAATTGCATGACGCAGTAATGTACAATGCATCGGTGTGAGAGAATTACGGCAGGTGAGGTATTGCGCAGCACCTCGTGCATCGACAAACCACAAAAAACCAGGTCCCTACCATCTGTCAGTTTCTGACAGCACCACCTTGAAGAACTATAGTGCTATTGTCAGACTGATACAAAATGTGGGCTTCTGAGGTATTTCTAATGCTAAACATCAATAAAGCCAAATTTTAGGATTGCCGTTCTTATACATAGAGGTTGTGCTTTACCCGCAAGGCCGATCCGCAGCTCCCGAAGACTACTGAAAAGTCGAATTTGTCATACATTACCACCACTTGTACCCGGGTTTCAGCCCAAAAAGTTTAGTTTCAAATATACACTCAACTTACATTTAAGCTACATGAATTGTTTTGTTACTTGGTCCAAGATTGTGCATTGCCATCTTTGAATGATAACCTGTACTCATTAGTATGTGCCTATCATATCCTCAAGACCATAGACCGTGGCCTGGCTAAACGGTGCTAAAATATACCTTCAGATATAGAGTTTCCGTTCTTGGACAAGAAGCAGTAGAAGAAATGGGAAACGAGAGGAGACTACTCACTGTGAAGGAGGTGTCTCTTGTGGTGGTCATTTTACCAGAATTGAGATTCGGTTAGCCCTTTCGAAAAACTCTTCAACAAATTATCCACCTGAAAAGCCACAGTAGCTAAGACTCAAAACTGTGGCTGCTTTGGCTCGTAAATCCAGGCTAGTGAATTGCGTGAACTTGGACTCCACCATCAGAGTGACAAATTATATTACATTAAAAAGGACACTTAGTCTTTTTCTTTTTTGTTTATTCAGACAAGCCCCTCAGCGCCTCCGAATCAGGTAACGAATGGCCGGCATACACTCTAGTGTTCAAAATATCTAGCCGAAAGACGAAAATTATAACAGAAAAGCGTTAAAAGAACGCTATGTGTTCTCTAGCTTCGCGCGTTTCATTCTGATAGCTGCGCGAGCTGAAAAAACAGTACCATATTTTTGGGCAAGGCCTAACACGCAAAGACACCGAAGAGCACAGACCGAGGAGTTACAATCGTAAGTGCACTCTTTAGGCAGAACCCCATGTACTGAAACTGTCATGCAATAAAAGTACAGGCCCGAAACATGCCAAAGACTTCGATCTGAAAAACTTGATGGATTTCAGGGCAATCATACAGAGAGTATCCAGAGCAGAAGCAATGAGTGAGATGCAGATAAAGGAAGGAGGCAGCGACAACCATGGAGTGAACTGCACGTACATGCGACAAAATGAGTCCATAAGGGCTTTTAGGACAATCTGCGGTAAGGTTCCTGATATCCAAAAGGAAGAACTAGGAACAGTCAAAGACACCTACCCTACCAGCATCAAACCATCGTCACGAGATCCCAGCTGATTCATCCGTGAATACAGGGGTGAATTGGCTTGTACACTAAACCGCGTACGGAAGATGATTACTCGAGACCCGACAGATTATAGAGAGTTCCCATAAGTGTTTGCCAGAGCTGCAACTTAGTCGAGCAAGAAGCAAAGGGATTTCTATTAAAATGAACTCGGTGTACAAAAAAATCCATGGATTCGTAGCAGCTGCTCTCTATCTCTGTAGTAGTGGTGACAGGTCCCATCATGGGTTGGAGGCACAACAAATTTTTTCGAGGCATGCCCATGCCCCCTTTCAAGGTCAAAAGGCATGCCCCATGCCCCCAGGCATGCCCGTATTACAATACGTACATTTAATGTATCAGAAAATATAATTCTATGAAAATAAAGCACTCTTAGAAGGAGAAACAATCAACACGAAAATGAGAGGTTCAAACCCACACTATAGTAGAATCTCGGAGTGTCTATCTAAGGAATCAAAGCAAGAGAGAACACGTGCTTATGTTACCTGCAAAACAAAAGGGCCAGGCAATTTTGTGGCATGGAGAGAGTGCATAGAAGCAGGAAGTATTGTGCGGACAGAACGGAGATATTGTGACACAGAAGTAAATGACATGGAGATATTGTGAAGACAAGGAAATGCAGAAGTAAATAACATAAACAATGTATGTAACAAATGAAAGAAACATCACAATGTGAAGTGCCTTTCTGGGCCGGAAACAATAACGTGCACATAGCATATGTTTGTTCTTCATCCGTCCTTTGTCAACATTTGCTGGCATCACATCTAATCATGTGCCATTTAGCAGAGCTAGATCTAGTTTAGTGGAGATCATCCAGGACTCAAGGAAATATAGTTCCTCATGCTAGACATCCGGTTCATTTGCTGAAAGTAATAAAGCCAGAGTACATGTCTACATCTCATGTATCGACACAAAAACAGCATTGCACAATTTGGCAAATCCTTCAGTTCCAAGAGCAGTTTCAGTACCATGTAGCCCCAACAATAAGCATAACTTCCCATTTATTTCTTAACTTATCCCACAGTCTATAACTTTGGAATATACGTATGAATTTGTTCGTACATACGGGAATGCCCCGTATGGAAATTGAGAATCAGGCATGCCCGTGGCATGCCCCTGTGCCCTCGCCCGGGGGCATGCCTTTTGAGTTGTGCCTCCAACACTAGTCCCATGGCATATATAACAGGTATCGGTGTAGGCAGTAAACCTAGCAAGAATACTTAATAGTTCGTGACAGTAGGTGGTGATCTCAAAGTTGACCTTTGGCCCAATTGTAGCCATGTTTTTCTCTCATGGACTCATTCAAAGCCTTTATTTCCTTATCAACAGTCTCACAACAATGAAGCAGCTGGACTGAGACGTTAACACTCGTAAGTCTAAGAATGAAGTTTCCAGACGTCTGTATATGTTGTCCGCAACATTAGTTTGTCGCAAGTAAAACAACGAAAAAACTTAAGTTTGTAGCGCATAAAGTAGTTACAGTGGTGGCTAGTAAGATGAGGGCTTGATAACACTTTCACTTTGTAGTGAAAGAATCCTTCTTCTCTGTGTTAGTGTTGGATTTTCAGCTTTGAGCTGATAAACATTTCATACACGGTCCTATAGAGATCGAAAAGCTGCCAAGAACAACTATTTCCCTTGAACTGGGAAATCCCTCTAACCTCCTGATATTATGAGGACGACAACCGGGATTAGCTTTTAATCCGATTAATTAACAGTTTTAGATCACTTGAAGCAAAATTTGCACGAATCCCTCCAGTTTTTCACCTTAACATTTATATGCAGCCATCTCAAGTAAATCTCTCATAGATGGATTATATGTGTCACATTAATTTCAGTTCGACAACCTATGTCGTCCTTCGCTACTTGTATGCCTGAAGCATTGAATCTAGCATACTTTGCTGCAATAACATCAATTACGAGTCTATCATACGAATCAATCAGAGATCGATAGTCTCTCAGAAAGGTAAATTATGGGATGATTTACGACAGCATCCAAGTACACGTACAAAACAAGGAGAATGGAAAGCCGAACCAAAGAATGAGGAGTGAACCTTGCGCTTCATAAAGGGCAGGCATCAACCCAGCAAGTCATGCAGACCACTTGATGTGGATGCTATTCTTGCAAAACGTGAAATGATGTGTGAAATACTACGTGGTGCAAGACCAATACTTGTGAATCGACACAAGAACTTTCCACCTTACACTCTGGTTAGTCACAACAGATACAATAAAACTACGAGAAAAAAAAAAAAAAAAAAGTTGTTTCGCAACTCAATACTTTTGAGGCTTCTCGGGGTCTAAACTCAGATCGTAAAGAAGGGAAAAAACAACGAGGATTAACAGAAACTGAACTAGGAAAAGGGCATTCACATTGCTGCTGCATTCGCGGCTAGCTCAATACTCATCCGGTCAAGCATATTGAGAAGCTGTCATATGACAACGAGACTACCACAAGTTACAAACGGGAAACTAATAAGCTTTTCAAATGGGAAAGCAAGTGTCCCAGGACAGGTGTTGATTAATAATCTACTTTTAAAAAGCAGCTCGGCTGACTCAGAAGGTATGCACTCGCTTTCTAGTTTACGTAAAACAGTAGGAAAGCCCGATAGGCTTCTGAATTCGTTCCTTTGCGATCACAGACAAAAATCAGAGGCACATTTTCTAAAACAAAATTAGTACCATTGCCGATCATCTCGACCCAAACAATAAACGGCGACTTAGTTGTAATGTTCTTATACACCTCACTAAAGCTGAGCTCATATATAAAATCTGAAGTGGATTTCAAAGATGTGCGTTCTTAGTCCGTACAATATGACAGGAAGAAAAATAAATTTCATTGTTCTACGCGAGAATGAAGCTGCTTCAAACCATTTCGTAATTGTGCCACAAATTGAACTTCATTATTCATACTCCAAATCACTCTTGTAAATCTACTCATACGCGTGAGCAGACAGACAAAGCCAACCTTAAAAGACGAAAAAAACCCATCATTTCGTACCTTCAAGCTCGGGGCAGAGATCGCCAGAAAGTTTTGAAACTAAGCGAGCTGTCGCTGTCACGTTATGTCTCGGGATCATGGAGAAAATACATCTAACATCACCTGACCTGCAAGCGACTGAATTCTCAGAACGACAAATTCAAGAAGAGCGAAATCGATCCAAATTCATAATGCAGAGCAATTCGGAAGGATGAGTTAATTAGAAAACCAGTGATCACAAGTTGTACCAATTCAGGAATGATAGCTAACAAAATTAAATGCCAGTACTTGAAATCGGAAATTCCAGTAAAACCACGTACGCGGAAAATTGTGGAGATCGTCGGCTACCAAAAATCGTCTGCTGAGGAGCCGCAGAGGGAGGGGAAAAGCGCGGAATTGATCGACCTCCGGCCAGAGAAGCTGCACTACTACTGGCGGGAGTGGACGTCCGAGCTGCCGAAGTGTGCGTCCATAATTTGCTCACAACTCTTGCGACTCGTGATGCCATAATTGTCCCGGTCGGATCCAATACGCTGCGATTGAATCGATAAGCCGATTCACCTCTCGATCGACACTCTCCCCGTCCTCGTCGCTGAGCACCAGACTCTAAGCGCAAAACCCCTGTACAACCCTAACCCTACGACGCAGAGTCTGTCACAGGCACACACATTTGCTCGTCCATCATGGACACAATCCGTTGCACAGCTCGTCCATCGACAGCCTCGGTCAGCGACTAGAGACAAAACCAACCAACGAACTCGGAGCCCTACAATATGCTCACCACTGCAGGGAATATGCCCTTTCACATGAAACCCAGTTCCTCAAGTTCGTTATTGTTCATCTCATTGATCTCTCTACCAGTCCCGGCTCAGAAGTACTGAGTTTGCGCTATCTTCAGTGAACTTAGAATTTCCAGCATGAACCTTGGATCAACAGATCCAGTGAGCAATAATATCATAACACTCCTCTGAAGCATGTCGAATGAATGCTAAGCTTATTGAATTTCCCTCTAGTGCAAAATTATATTATAGTGTAATTCATTTTGAATCTTTTGAAGACTTGTTTTGATTGTGATTTATTTTTACTTTCTTTGCATTTTCCTTGTTAGAAAAGGTTCTTACGTGGTCATTGTAGAGTTTTTCATAATATGACTAGAACCGCGTACCTTTAAATTACCTCATAGCATGAACGTCCCTCTAGTGCAAAATTATATAAAAGTGCAATTTATTTGAATGTTTTGAGGAATTGTTTTGATTGTGATTTATTTTTATTTTCTTTACATTTTCCTTGTCAGAAAAGGTTCTTACGTGGTCATTGTAGAGCTTTTAATCATATGACTCGAACCGCGTACCTTTAGAGTACCCTATACTGCGTGTTTCGATAACAAACCATTACGAATATATATAGTTGAAGATGTGCTATACCGTATAGCACACGTTGCAATCACGTATAGCCTATACGTGATTGCAAACACACTAAATTATCAAAAGACCATAGAAACAATATCTGCTTCGGATAATCACACAAGGTACCTAAAAGTGTGTGCGTGAAAAGACTATGGCGCATGAGCTCACGGTGACCGATAAGCTAGGAGGCTCTCAGAAGAAGTTTGTGGTTCCATATCTCCATCATGACACGAGATTCAGTACTCGAGCGTCAGCGTTCTGCATCACAGGGACTGGAGTTTGAAATTGCCGTCTCCATTTACTCTACGGTGTAGCATGATTGCAGACGCATTGACTGCAACGCAACGCAACTCAACTTGGACATACGCGAGGCATGCATCGCATCCCCAGACTCGCAGCGACCTCCCAGTAAACTTACAACTTACTGCCTCGTGGCCCACGCGCTCACCATGTTGCTGCAAAAGAGGGAGGACGCTGAACAGGACGGCCGCGTTCGTAACAAAAGTCCGGCCTACATCCATCGCTCGCAAGCCCGAGTCAATCGAGAGACTGGGCTGCTGGATATTTTCTCACCCGACACAAAATGATCGCAGCGCCTATGCCTCGGACCAGTTCCAGGTGTCCCGTTCCGAGGAGTTGATCTCACGTTCGTTCACTCTGGGGACGTCAAGAGAGAACAGTAACGTTAGATCTAGGGGCACGGGCTGTAATTATATGGCGCACTCGCTTGTTGATCATATGTGAAATCTATTTATAATATTTTTTTGATTCGTACATTTATAACGGCCATAGTCTTGTTTTTTATGTTCTCTGAACTCAATCATCAGTACTCAATTATTGATATGATCTCTAAATCAAGGGTTCTGTCTAATACTGGACTGTGGATTGAAACAGTATTTTGGCTATTATATTTTCTGTCAACAGGAAACATAAACAGCAAACATAAAGATTATTAGCATATAATTATAAACACAAGTTATGAGTAAAAAAAATAGTGTGTAAGCGAAGAGCTGTTGAAGTGATCGAAAATTTATATCTTAGTTCAAAATGTAACATCTTATTAGAGGGGAATCATCAATGATCTTTTAAAGTGTGTTTTAAAGTGAGTTTACAGACTGTGTTATTCACATCGGTCACGAATTTTATTCGCAACAAAATTATATTATGTAAATTTTATGTATTTCAAATTCTTTGCAAGTGACACTTTATATACTGGATTGCATCTATTTTTATTGTTATGTTAGACATAGTTCTAAACTTAGGTTGATAGCCTACAATCATTGAAATTTCCTCATTACAAGTAAGTGATGACGATGACTATCGATTTGTTACCAAATTTAGAGTCAATGATCGGGGTAATTACACGAACTCATTCCGAGGAACTTGGACTCGACCAAGTGTAAATGTAAATCGGAACAGCCGAGTATAGAGACGCACCCGTTAGGGAGCACAAGAAGCCGCAACCATTTCAGTGCCAACGTCGGCGAGATCGAGACTTGAAGACAGCGGTGACAAGATTCCACAAGAGCCAAATTCGAGACGTCCAAGTTTGGGAATGATATAGTTTTACATTACGTATGAAAGAATTTTTCGAACCGAAGTACATCCGGTAGACTAGAATCTAAGTACTGAGCCTAATTGCCTACTTAAAGCCTCAACAGTAGTAATTCTCGTGTAAGCATCGCTTACTGCTTACCTCTACCTAGGATGAAGCAGGGCTGATCGCAGCTTGCACTGATCAGCACGGCGCTTTTTATTCGACGTCACTTTGCCACCATGAAAAATCCAATATCCTGATTACAAAGCTCTAACACCAACCTACTCTAGATATTTTGCTACGAGCAGAGAGCGACTCTGCTCGTGCCAATGGATCGATAAAATTTATTTTGAGGTGGAATGCTAAATGGTGGTGCGTGACAGAAGTGCTATTCTATAGACTAGTTTACGTTTCTAATGTATATCCTATGTGGGCCAGCCGCGCTCCAATTGATTCCAGCGTCAGCTGTGGAGGAGTACGAGAAAATTGATCCCAAGTGGCTGTGCATGCTCGATACAAAACCATGCCAGCTGCTGCAGCGAGTCCATGAACTGTCAAACTGTTAATCTGTAAAATCGAACCCAAAAGAATCAAGCAACGGCGATGCACTCCGTTCTTTCCTGGAAAGAATTGGACGCGCTCAGAGCTACGAGTGGCCTCATGGCGGCTGCCAGGGCTCCAGCTCCCAGCGGTTGCTCCTCGCTGTCGGAAAGATTTAGCACTGGGGTACTCTCGCAGTCGGAGTCGACGCTTTCATTATCGGAGGAGGAGCACATCTCGGCCCCGGAGTCGGAGTTGAAGCACATCTCGGAGTCCAAACCCAGCAGGCGATTGGCCTCGGTGGTGATAATAGCCCAGGTGTCAGTAACGTGGATTGGTTGTGTCATCGTCGCACCAATGGCCATCCTCAGAGTGTAGACGCCGCCCATGACTGTGTGCGTGAAGAAGACGGTCCCGTTTGCGTTGATGGTGTCCATGAGCTTCTGGTTGATGGTCTTTCCATTGTCGGGGTCGTTGGCCTGAGGTTTAACGCGGAAACAGACGAGGGCGAAATTTCTCGGGGTCACGATCTCGAAGTGCCTGTTCGCCTTCACCAACGACTCGAAGTGCTTCGCCATACGAACACCGTTTCGGATGTGGGTGCGCAGACCGCTTGCTCCGTACATTCTCATCACCATCCACAGCTTGACGGCCCTGAATCTTCGGGACAGAGGAAGCTGAAGGTTTCTGAAGTCGATAACATTCTTCTCGTCCGAGTGCTGCAAATCATACACATTTTGTTTAGATCTCAATGCGGTAACTCGAATGGTGCTCAAATCGAATGCTGCATGTGATCTCACTCAAGAAGCGCTGTACTCGACTTCCTGAACTGTGAACAATGGAGCTTACCTTGTTCTTGAGGTACTCTGGGTCGGTCGATAGAGCTGACTCCAAGGCCTTGGGGTCCTTGACCCACAAGCAGGAGCTGTCGAAGTTGATGAGAAGCCACTTGTGTGGGTTCAGGCAGAACGAGTCGGCCTTCTCGACACCGTCAAGGAATGGTCTGAATTCTGGGCAGATGCAAGCGCTTCCTGCATAGGCGGCATCGATGTGGAACCACATCCCGAAGCTCTTAGCGAGGTCACCGATGGCGTGTAGTGGGTCCACAGCAGATGAAGAAGTAGTACCAACCTGCATTGCATTGTGCCGATCATGTCAGAAATACACTGGGGGGTACTGAAAAGAATAAATTCGATGCAGAACATAAAACTTCAAGTTGTGGGGTGAATGATTCTGAAAGATATGAGAATAATAATTTGTGCCGAGAGAAGAATATTGTCTTTTAAGAATTAGAAGATTAAGGTATTCAAGGCTAATACCGTTCCACAGACGAAGAATGGGATGAAGCCTGCTGCTATATCATTTTCGATAGCCTGCAATAGGACCGCTGGGCTGAGGGCGAAGTCTGTAGACGCATCAGTGGGAAGGATTCGCAAGTTGTCACCTTGAACACCAGCCATCTGTGGGAATGAGCCAGTATATGTCAGATATCTCAGCATGTTAACATTGGAAGAAAAGTCTCACTCGCGAATATTTTCATAGCGCCCAAATGTTCACAGGATCAGATTGGAAAGTACCTTGCAGGCTTTAGCAACGCATGAGTGAGTCTGATCCGACGTGTAGGCAACGAGCTTGCTGTGCACTTCTCCCTCCAACAGACCCTCTGCGGTGTATTTATCAACGAATCTTTTCCTTGCAGCCAAAATACACACGAACACTGCCTCGCAAGCAGTTCCCTCGATGATACCACCACCACCTCCGCTGCTCAAGAACTCCTTGGGGAGGTTCAGAAGCTTTCCGAGCCATTCAACGACGATGACTTCCAATTCGGTTGCTGCTGGAGACGCAATCCAACTGAATCCATTCACATTAAGTCCACCACAGAGCATCTCTCCCAAATAACCGGCAGTACTGAAACTGGCTGGGTAGTAAGCGTGGAACTGCGGGCTCAACCAGTGTGTGATCCCGGGAAGAATCTTGGACTTGACATCTGGAAGTTCCATAACAAGTTCGAGATATTAGCTTCAGGTGTAGCCATTACATTCGTGTATTAAGAAGCCAGCATTTATAAAGGACAGTCGCCCCACCATCGTCTCCACCGCAGTGCTAGCAGACTACAGCGAGCCGCCCGAATAGAAATTTCTTATCATACGATTTCTATCGTTTTGAACCGATGGAAGTACGTCCATAGAGCAGAGACTGTCCACTCACTACTCGAACGGTTGAAGCGTGTGTATCACTGACCTGAGAATACTTCGTCCAGTGTCTCTGGGCTCTCGGGGGCCGTGTCTGGAATTTGCTTGTATAGGTAACCAGGCTGCAAATAAACAATCATAGATTTGTTATTTTAGATATTTTCGAGGCCAGTGTGACATAGCGGAGTGCAAGAGAGCTCCTAAAAACAATCCTGCTTTCTGGGTCCAGACATTCCCGCGAACTCATGACACATTGCTCATCTTGAAACGTTTTGGAACTATGTACATGAGCGCACTTGCTAAATGCAAAGGTCGTCGAAGTGCACGGTAACATTTTTCTTGGAATATTCCAGATTGGGATTTTGCTCACCTCCACTTGACTGCGCACGGGATACGACTCAATGTCACGGTAATAATCGGCCAGGAATTCCACCATTTGATGCGCGGATTGTCTGAACTCCTCCACATTGAAAGGACTCATTGGGGCCTTGTTGACCATGTTGTCGGAGATGATGGCATCAGATCTTGAGTCCCTGCGTGCATAAAATGATATTTTCCGTCAAATCCAAGGGGAACATCTCAAGCTGACCTACATCTTGAGCAGAAGAATTTTCTCCAGTCACAAAGTGTGGTTGTATCCCAGACCAGCAATGTCATCTATTACGTTCAAAGGAGGACTTCCACAGATGTAGTAGGTGACCCTCGCCACTGGCTGGACCCACAAAACGCTAAACCCAAAACCTTGCATTCATGCACGTTAGCCCGTCATAAAGGACTAGCTCGTACAGGGCCACCATGACGTTTCCAAAGCTGCATCTTGCAGTCCCGACGCTTATGAAAGCAGAAAAGTTCCTGTGCAGCTCGTATCTAGTAGCGATGGGTATCAGAGTGGGCATTTTACATTTTGGATGGAAATCTGATAGTCGGAGAAGATGGAGATGAACTTGACGTGTCTGCAGCAGCACTACCGAAACGTGAATGGAACTTGTTCGTGAATTAGCCCAGTTGATGGCAGCAGTGTGAGGTATTCCGTCGACAGTTTCAGTACTGTGAACTCGAGCTGCGATCCTTTGAATCGGAAACCTTCTTGTGTAGACCCTGGCAATTGGTCAGTGCGAGATCAGCTCGAGTGTGACGCCTGGGATATTTTAAAGCTGCAGCAGCCGAGAATGCAGGGCTATTCAACTCCGGGGCCTTAAGTTGGGCTTGTCGAAGATACAATGCAGTAAGCCGTAAGAGTGCAGCTTCGCAAGCTTCAAGTTGCTTAGACAATAGGAGTGGAAGAGGACTGAGTCCTCAATGCTCTATGTCCGACAACTGAAAGCTTGGATGCCGATACCAGAGGATTCATGGGCCTTATATAAGGCTCGGGTACGGGTAGGTCGACCAGTAGGTGTTTTCTGGAGAACGTGAACTGCTCGCTTCTGCCATCGTCGGGTTTCGCTGTAGCTGCTCCCGGAAAAACTTCTAACAAAGCTTACTGCCCTCGCGCAACTCAGACTCGAACAGTGGAGGGCAGTAAAAAACTTTAATAATTAAAATAAAACAGTAGAGGCAGTTGGTTCCGAGAGAGCCGCCCTTGCGCTCGCGCTGGGCCGTCCGGGTCCTCTGCGCCAAATTATGAAACCCCGCGTAGTCCATGCGAAAGTCACCTCAATTTACTCACGGACCTGTAAACCCATGTAGGAGCGACGAGACGGTCCCTCGCACGAATTCAGACAACAAGGGCACTACGGAAGTTCGGGCTGATTTGCAAACGTGCTCGCCCGGGCATCAACAGCCCATGCTCCCAAAAGATTCCAAATTCTTGACGCTATCTGATGAGGGGCAGCACTCTGACATCCCGTCTTCATGATGGCCAAACTTTATGAGCCCAGACCCGCCCTTCTCCTCGTCCTTGATCACCCCTCGTACCCTCCCTCCCCTCCCTCCCCTCCCTCCTCAACTCAGAGGCATCTCCCGTGAGCCACACCACCTGCTTCCAGCCACTCACACTCGCCAAGGTGATTTGCATACGAACTTGCTGCTCCCTGATGCACCTAGAATCTTGCTTTGACCAGAATAATACTCCCCAATGATGTGGCTAAAGCAACTTTTATACAGTGACAGGCAAACTCCGAGGGAAGGTTTTATTAATAGATGCCTGACCAATCTCCATGTGAGGAAATGCTACAAGTTCGTCACTGGCGTGAAAATCAAATGTGATTGCCTCCTTCAGAAATCTCGCTTTTGTTTTTCTTTTGTTTTCTTACCATCAAGTCCTCGAACATTTTGAACGGATCTCATGAATTTGCCAAGTACCATGACCATCCACTTCGAATTTCACTGTAGAACCTTGATGTGGCCTCGACAAATGCATGATATGAATCATCTGCAACTTCTCAAGCACCTCGTTTATTTGTTTCCACACTTTAAAGTTTCATAAGTACGGAAGTACTTAGAAATGACTGTATCGTATTGTATTGCATAATGCTATAATGTATTTCAGATCCTTCAATGCACTGAATGTCTTCGTTTTTTATACAGGATCACAATAAAGTGTTCGTAGATATTAAAATGTTGGAGAACTGACGAATCCACTCGGTGAAGAATAAAGTTTGATGAGTGGAGAGTTTGAAGGATTGAAATCGCGATAGAAATATCCACGGTTTGCGACGGCATTTTTCTTATAGACCGTGTGCTACTGGGATTCACAATAAGTATATATTAAATCCTTTTCTGTTCGTTATTTATACAGGATCACAATAAAGTGTTCGTAGATATTAAAATGTTGGAGAACTGACGAATCCACTCGAAGAAGAATAAAGTTCGATGAATGGAGAGTGTGAACGATTGGAAACGCGAGAGAAATATCCACTGTTTGCGACGGCATTTTTCTTATAGACCGTGTGCTACTGGGATTCACAAGAAGTATATAGTAAATCCTTTTATATTCGGAGTGCAGAATACAAACATTCGTATGCTCTAATGGTGTGGTGTTTGTTATGGTATAAGAAGTAGTATACCTCCGATGAAATGAGCATTGGCTCTCTTTTCATACTTCGTTAGTGAGGTATAGTTTACTGATGCATATGTGACGCGTGCATAGGACGGGTGACACTTGGATGACAATGTTTCCAAGTTTTGAAGCATGGATATAAATAAACTTTTTGTTCATTTAGTTTGAAAATTGTTTGAAATGTCTCCGAGTACATATAGTTTGAAAATTGTTTGAAATGTCTCCAAGTACATATGCATGAAATAGATCATCTACTTTGGAATCAAACGAAATGATTGATAAATCTATGACATATCAATGAAAGTGTAATTGAGATTTTACTAAACTAAAATGATATAGTTCTTTGATTATATAATAACTATTTTCTCTAAACATTTGAAATAAATCAGTCATTAATGCCTTTCAAAGAAAACCAATCATGTGTAGGGATCATTCTTGGAATGTTATATTGTTGTCAGATAATTTGAGGCTGAGAAAAACTGATGTAATGAGTTAAGTAATGTGTATTTTCCAGGGTGTTCGGGTAGGGTCCTAGCCCCATGTTACCTGCTTTGTTTGGTTTCATCTTTGCTTTCATGATTTGACAGGGTCTTCCAAGTTTTTGCTATTTTACTTTGTAATCATTCCATATGAATGTTCAAACGTCAACGTGCAAAGGTACAATCGACAATTTTAGCATCCAGCCTTAATACCTAGATTTCGTAAGTGACATTGTCGTATCTTCTACGCTCACACGACCACCATGCAACGATACAACGATAATACGACATGGTTGACTACAGTACATCCCGATTTTGCTATAAAGTACGCCTACGGTGCGGGACGTCTATATGGCAATCGCTTGCCTTTTCATGCTTCTTTTGTCCATGAAGATTCATCGCCTTTGTGATTGCTTGTGTGTCCGACGTCCCTTCGTCTTTAAGCCTCCAGAATCAAAAGAACGATCACTTTATTAGGCGGGCCTAGCTCCACCGGCAGTGCAAATGAGCTGCTAATTAGCCTAATCCCTCGATCCCTTGTACATAATCCACTGTGTGAGTGAGTGACTCTCACCTCAGTTGTCACTCAGAGAGAGAGAGAGTGAATGATATGTACAGGAGCAGTCAATGCCTACGAATTATAATTCTCAAACCAGGAAGACCAAAGAGTCAAATACACACATGTGGCCCAGTATGTGGAAACGCCTGAGGACACATCCTGCCGACCAGCTGTAATTGTACTCGAGTTCGGAAATCCGGGTGAAAATATGAAAATTGAAGAAGCCATTAACATCTACCACCGCATGCACCTCCAATAATGCCTTACGCTGCCTGCCCGTGTCCGCTGTTTCGACAAACACGTAGAAGGAACCTCTTCTTCGCAATGAGAAAATCGTTTCCCTTTTGACATGTTCCCAACATGCTCATGCGGCCCGAATAGCTTCAAGGTAGGTCACAGAATAGGCCACTGGTTTTTGTAAGCCTAGTAATGTCTGCAGAAGCGCATTCATACCGTGGCGACTGCTCTGCTCGCGCGTCTTGATATCTTCTAGAGTCCGTAATAAAGTATGAAAGACAATGGTTCAGTGAAATATCTTACATCACAAAGCTACAACAACGATTTAGTAAAGTGGTAATCTTTGTCCTGACATCCCTACAATGTGGAGGGGCCAAGTATTTCAGAAAAAGACAGAAGACTCCATCAAATCGTACAGGGAGGAAGCCAAACAAACGGGGAACATGGGCCTAGGCCCCAGTAGCATCCCATGGTGATGCCATTGATATCCCTACGATTAAGTAGGTGAATTAGCGAAAGCTTAAGATTCAAGCGTAGTCTGAGTCCCTCATTCCTTCACTTCACTAGAATCTCCAAGATTCACTCGTTGCGGTATACCGTAATCATGAGACACTTCCGGTACCGCCTCTCCCCTAAAGCTTGAACGGAGCCATCTCAACCAGCTGTAGGTCATGGGCCGGTGGGAGACTATATTTTGGCTTCATCGAGCGACACGGCCATACGTGCCGAGCAGACCAAGAAGGCACTTTCCTGTGCAATGTGTCACCGTGTGCACATACTGCTCACTTTTCCTCACCGCATCACCGCGTATTGTCTTACCTACTGTACAGTGCTGGACAGTAGTAAATAGAGTGATAGATACGCAGTCTCTCTGAACGGACGATTCGCTTGCTTGTGCGGACTCGGGTGAGTATATTCCTCACTGATCACTGTACTGTGACAATTCAATACTTCGTTTCGTCACACACAAGCCGCCATGCCGGTGCTAAGAGGAATGATCCCCAATTCAGCTCGCCCTTTTTTCTAGGCACTTCGTTCGAAATTGGATAACTTCTCGCGCTTGCATAGACTTCATCTGAGAAAGATTTATATCGGCACGGGGATAAGGTATTCGCAAGTTGAGCAAATATTGACGAACGCCAATCAAGTACTATCGCTATATTGTGAACATCAGCTGCTAGATTTTTGCCTAAATGCCCGCATGTGAGACATCATTGCATGTGTACAGTGCTTTTTTGATGAGATGATATGATGGCAATGAGTTCTGCGACTATTTGTATACCAAGTCGAAACAAGGACCCAAGAAACGGTAGTTTTACAAGACCGAGCAGTTTACCATACGTGCAGTATCATGATGCGGCCAGTGATGTTGTCGAAATGCTTAAATATGCTCTAAAACATCGAGAGATGATATGGACAGAGATGTATTAGTACGAGACACAGCAGATTCGTTAACAGTCTTAAAAATAGGATGAAACCGAGGACACCGATTCTCGGTGAAGTTGTTTATAATCTTGTGCCCATACTTTACCCTTTTTCTCTATGGTCCATGGTCTGTGAACCATTTTTCCTTAGCTGGAGTTATTTTTAAAAACAGTCACATCCTTCACTATATATGGTTTAAAGTTTCCTGCATCGAATCCGATTCGAGATCCCAACGATATCAATTATTCGTTGCAAAGGTGTACCATTCCCGAGAACCATGTTTGATTTAGTTATTTTCATAATTAACGAAATAAGCTGCTATTAAAATACCCTTATACTATCATAAGTCTATCTGGATCATACTGTTATAATACTGGCAGAAATATCTGAGGGAGGACTTTTCTTAGAGAACATGTAAGATGCATGTGATAATGATTGACAGAAGTTGCATCTAAGGCAGGAACAATCGCTAGTGTAATTTTTTATTTTACTGAGCAGCCACTCCAACAATGATATTTTTATATTAATTGATAAAAATATTGCATGCGCTATGAGCATAGGCACAACGTTTGCATACGCGGTTGCCATAGTTCGTACACAGTACTCACAAAGACCCAAATA